ATCCAGATTAATATCAGGATAAACAATGCTTCTAAAGATGGAGGGTGAGTGAAAAAGCACTGAGCTCAGGGGAGCCTTGCTAGGTGTCAGCTTTCAGATTTTAAGGCAGCTTTCATGAGACTTAGTTTCTGTGGGTACCTCAACAGCTTCCAAAGAGGGACCTAGAAAGCAGATCTGCAGCTCACTCCTGCAGAGAAAACAGGAACTTCAGGCCTTTCCAACCTTTCCTGCCCTGCATAAACAAACACTGTTTAGTGCTCTGTCCCAGAGACTGTTCGGAAGATGGGAGGAATCTAGGGATACAAGTCTTGCAAGAAAATATGCTTTTTGGGCAGGACTGGCTCTTCAAGAAAAGGTCTGAGAGGATGGGGAGGGATCCCTGGAGCAGTTCCAAGGCAGAGGCAGGCAGGCTAAAATCTATCTGCAGGGGGTACTCACGCTGAGCCTGCTGGAAAGCAGCACAGAACTTGGCAGCTGGAGTGTTTACCTAAAAGCTCTGCCTCCATGACAGCGAATCAAACTGAAAGGGATGGGCCCTACCGGCCAATTGCATTGCCAGGAAGAAGATCAAGTCCTTGGCAAAACAGAAACCGCACATTGTGTCCCAGGCACTTGCCAGCGTCAGAAAACAATTTCTGTCAACTACACCATGTGCTCCAGAGTAATCAAGTCTCACTGCTAACAAGGTCACAATGAATTGGCCCAAGCCAGGCTGGAATGTTCAGCTGCACCGAGTCCAGCCACCTGGTCAGCTCCTTGAGGAGAAGCTACAGAAAGTCCCTTTGCTTACTGATTTAGAGCACATGCGGCAGCGGTGCAGCATCAAGGGATAATAAAGTGCATTTATTCAAGTTGAATGTATAATCGCTGAAATTCAGTTTATTGCAGTTTATTTTCAGTTAATTTAACAGTTTTGCTGTATGTGGTGAGGAGGCTGCTGGCTCCTTCCTGCCCCCACCATGCTGCCACCTATGATACAGAGGCAGCAGCATAGGACAGGGTGAGTTGAGGGGAGGTGCTGTGTGCAACCACACATGCTAACCCATGAGCCCAAGCTCATCAGTTAATCATATGCAGGGTTACTCTTTCACACCCTTAGCAGCTTCCACTCAGCATCACAGGCCAGGTACAACCCTGCTTTGCCAAGCACCACTATGATCCTCCAGCAGAGGCACCAGCTATGAGTGTATGAAAAGGACGTATAGTTTAGGGATGTTAGTGACTAGTGAAATATCTGATAAGCACATGCTTATTGGATAGTCGAGTAGAGACTGCACTAGTCACTCCTCCCGCATTGCTGCCTCTATCAGAGAGGCAGCAAGGGGAGGGAGGAGCAGGAACTGGTGTTGGAGGGCAGGGGCACAGCAAGTAAACAGTGCAAGCAGGACAGTTCCCACTGCTGGTGCTTCTGCTTTTGAAATGTACAAGAGGCCTCTGGTGCTCCTGTAAGTTGCAAAAGTACAGCAGGGAGCATGGGGTGGGCAGGGACTCAAGAACTCCCCACTCACTCTGTGCTATGTGGCAACACCCCTTCCCCCCGTGTGGCCTCTCAGAGGCAAGCAAGGTGGGTAGGGGGGGACAAGAGTCGACGCTGGGGGGAGCCGGCTTAAGTCAGTTCCCCCTCAAGTACCATCTCCAGGGTGCCTCTATTAAAGGCAGCAGATGAAGGCGCAGGGAACACTGCTAGGAAGCAGCCCCAGTCAGGAGCTGGCCCTCCCCTGGACAGGGTCTGTTGCCACCAAACAGCTGATTTGTGGCA